TTTTTTTTGAGAGGTTTTTGCTATAGGGCTCGTGTGCTCGCCAGAAAGACAGAGAGAGACAGAGAGACAGAAACCCAGAAATCACCCCCCGGGGGGGATAGCCACGCCACAATCCCTTTTCCTCCATTCTCCTCTCGGGATCTTGGGCACGCACGCACACGCACCCGGCATAAGTTTAAGCCACTGGGTCCGGGACTCGAACCACGGTCGACTACATGGGAGTCCAGTGACACAGCCATTACGCCAACTGCTAGTCCCGTCTGGTCCCATCTTGCAGAGGAGAAATCACAACAGACTTGGGGAGAATCGTTACTGGTCAGTCACCAACAGAGGCAAGCCTAGAATCCAGGTCCTTTCCCTCCCCCACTGGGGTCCTGTATTCTCTACCTATGGCAAGTTCCTTAAGCATTTTGTGCCTCCGTTTCCTCATCTAAAAAGCGGAGTTGTTGGGAAAACTAAATGAGTACCTTCTGGCACCTGGTTGGTGTTCACTAAATGGTACTCTGACCATGCCATGCTGCCTCCTGGTGCAGGAGAGAAGCAGCAGTTACTCCCCTTTCCGTCCTTTTCCCAGGCCAGAAGAGTAGGCGCATGTCAGTTTTGTACTAAGTGGTCCTTCCTACATTGAGGGGTGTGGCTTGTTTTGCTTTGTTATTTTGTTATAGGCGCAAACACTCATCAGAGAGAGGGGGAAAGTTAGAGAAATTCCCTCCCCCGACAGGGGACCGCCACCCCACAATCCCTTCTCCATTCTCCTCTCTAGATTTTGAGCATGCACACACATGTGCCCGTGGTTCTCAAACCACCAGGTCCAGGATTCAACTATGCAGTTAGCCATGTGAGAACCTGTGCCCTAACACTTCATGCCATCTGCTCACCTGGCCGGTGTGAATGATTTCTTCATTTATTTTTAAGTTTTGCCGTAGGGCACATGCGCTCTGTGGAGAGAGAGAGGGAAGTAAAAAGAAAAAATCACCCCCGGGGGGATGGCCACACCACAACCCCTCCTCCATTCTCCTCTCAGGATTTTTGGTATGCACCCACATGTCCAGTGCAATTCTCAGGACTCTGGGCTCAGGACTCGAACCGGGGTTGGCCATGTGAGAATCCAGTGCCTTTACCACCGGAACACCTGCTGGCCTCAGAGGGGTACTATTTGAGATCTTCTAAGAGGGAAATTTGGTTGTGGCTGATCCATCCCTCTGGGCTTTAGGCCCTATTGAAGTGACTTCCTTTCTCTCCAGTTTCCTTCTGCCTGTCTACGATGGCAGAAGAGGGGTAGTGAGCAGGTTTGGATGCAGGCTTTATTTCCCAGTGTGTGACCTTAAGCCAGTCGGGGTTGAATTTTTTTTGAGAGATTTTTGCTATAGGGTGCATGCAATTGCTGGAGAGACAGAGAGACAGGCAGAGAGAAATCATCTTCAGGGGAAATGGCCATGCTACAATCCCTTCTCCATTCTCCTCTTGGTATACTGGGCATGCTCGCACATGTGCCCAGCGTGAGTTTTAAGCTGCCAGTTTGTGACTCGAACCGCTGTCAACCTCATGGGGGTCCAGTGACGTAACCATTACACCATCTGCTGGTCCCTTGGCCAGTCTTACTTAACCCTTTTTTTTGGCAAGGTTTTTGCTATAGGGTGTGTGCGCTTGCCAGGAAGACAGAGAGAGACAGAGAGACAGAAAGCGAGAAATCACCCCCAGGGGGTATGGTCACACCACAATCCCTTCTCCTCCATTCTCCTCTCAGGATCTTGGGCACGCACGCACATATGCCTCGCGTGAGTTTAAGCCACTGGGTCCGGGACTCGAACCGCGGTCAACTTCATGGTCAACTGCAGGTCCCGTTACTTAACCCTTTAAAAACCTTAGTTTCTTCACCTACAAAGGGGTAAATAAATACAATGGGACATACTATAGCTATTAAAAAAAAAAAGGAAACGCTTTGTTAATTACTTTTTTAAAAAGAATTATTTTATTTAGGGGCTGGCAGATGGCATGGTGGTTAAGGGTGCT